ATTTCCAGCTGTGTGGCCTAATTGTGATCCTCATGAGACAAAAAACTCAAATTCGCAAAACTATGTTTTATACCTTGACACAGAATGGCGTAACAACGAATTGGCCTTATAAGGGATAACGGAGAGGCACAGAACAGAGGGGTTTGACCACATGTGTCATTAACCACATACGAATTTTGAGGTTTCCTATGTTGGTGCTGAATAATAATTTTAGCCACATTTCAGCCATAATAGAGCGCGAGACAACATAAAATACCCTTTCTCTTCACTCAAGACACTTGTTCCAGCCCTGGTCACACCGAACAGATGAGTATGGCTGAAAACGAGGCCGTCCGGATTAACGTATTCAAAATCGACCGAGGTACGCAACGCAACCTGGTATAGTCCAGTTCTGGCTGATGCCCTGGTATAGGATAGCTCTGGCTGATACCCTAGTATGGTCTAGTTCTGACTGATCCCCTAGTTTGGTGTAGTTCTCGCTGATCCCCTTGTGTAGTTCTGGCTGATTCCCTTGTGTAGTTCTGGCTGATTCCCTTGTGTAGTTCTGACTGATCCCCTTATATAGCTGATCCCCTGGAATAGTCCAGTTCTGGCTGATCCCCTGGTATAGGATAGTTCTGGCTGATCCCCTTGTGTAGTTCTGGCTGATCCCCTGGTAAAGTGTAGTTCTCGCTGATGCCCTGGTATAGTGTAGTTCTGGCTGATCCCCTTGTTTAGTTCTGGCTGATCTCCTGGTATGGTGTAGTTCTGGCTGATCCCCTTGCATAGTCCAATTCTGGCTAATCCCCTTGTATAGTCCAGTTCTGACTGATCCCCTAGTATGGTGTAGTTCTGGCTGACCCCCTTGTGTAGTTCTGACTGATCCCCTTATATAGCTGATCCCCTGGAATAGTCCAGTTCTGGCTGATTCCCTGGTATAGGATAGTTCTGGCTGATCTCCTTGTGTAGTTCTGGCTGATCCCCTGGAACAGTGTAGTTCTCGCTGATGCCCTGGTATAGTGTAGTTCTGGCTGATCCCCTTGTTTAGTTCTGGCTGATCTCCTGGTATGGTGTAGTTCTGGCTGATCCCCTTGCAGAGTCCAATTCTGGCTAATCCCCTTGTATAGTCCAGTTCTGACTGATCCCCTAGTATGGTGTAGTTCTGGCTGATCCCCTTGTGTAGTTCTGGCTGATCCCCTTGGGTAGTTCTGGCTGATCCCCTAGTATGGTGTAGTTCTGGCTGATCCCATTGTGTAGTTCTGGCTGATCCCCTAGTATGGTCTAGTTCTGGTTGATCCCCTAGTATGTCGTAGTTCTGGCTGATCCCCTGTGGAATTCTGGCTGATCCCCTGGTGAAGTGTAGTTCTGGCTGATCCCCTGTGGAATTCTGGCTGATCCCCTAGTGTAGTGTAGTTCTGGCTGATCCCCTAGTATGGTGTAGTTCTGGATGATCCCCTTGTGAAGTTCTGGCTGATCCCCTAGTATGGTCTAGTTCTGGCTGATCCCCTAGTATGGTCTAGTTCTGGCTGATCCCCTAGTTAAGTCTAGTTCTGGCTGATTCCCTGGTATAATGTAGTTCTGGCTGATCCCCTAGTATGGTCTAGTTCTGGCTGATCCCCTAGTTAAGTCTAGTTCTGGCTGATTCCCTGGTATAATGTAGTTCTGGCTGATCCCCTAGTATAGTGTAGTTCTCGCCGATCCCCTGGTATGGTGTAGTTCTCGCCGATCCCCTGGTATAGTGTAGTTCTGGCTGATCCCCTAGTATGGTGTAGTTCTCGCCGATCCCCTGGTATAGTGTAGTTCGGGCTGATCCCCTTGTGTAGTTCTGGCTGATCTCCTGGTATAGTGTAGTTCTGGCTGATCCCCTTGTATGGTGTAGTTCTGGCTGATCCCATTGTGTAGTTCTGGCTGATCTCCTAATGGTGTAGTTCTGGCTGATCTCCTAGTTAAGTGTAGTTCTGGCTGATCTCCTGGTATGGTGTAGTTCTGGCTCATCCCCTTGTGTAGTTCTGGCTGATCCCCTAGTATGGTGTAGTTCTGGCTGATCTCCTGGTATGGTGTAGTTCTGGCTGATCTCCTGGTATAGTGTAGTTCTGGCTGATTCCCTGGTGTGCTATAGTTCTGAGGGAATCTCCAGTACACAGTATAGTTCTTGCTGATCCCCACAAGTTTAATGTAGTTCTTTCTGATAACCCGGTATAGCGTAACTCTGACTGATCCCCTGCTACAGCGTAACTCAGTGGTCCCCAATTATAGTGTAGTTCTGGTTGAGTTATGGATAAGCTCGAGAGGGAACGTTCTGTCGTGGGTTACAGTGTTTAACTAAACCGGCAGATGCAGGGGAGAGCGTGTTGCAGGGGGTGCCGACAGGTGGGAAAGCACTTTAGCACATTTGCAAGTCATCGGGGTCCATGGGTCTTCTACGTTCGGCCTCTCAGACATTGAGGTACATATTGCAGCATCTTGCCGCTCCATCTGCCAAAAGCTGCAAGTTCCTGATGCACGGCAGCTGAGAAGATAGGATGTCACACTGATACCAGACTGCCCGTTAGTTGAGAAACAGCATTGTTTTATGGCGAGCGTAATACCGAATGCCAGATGTTGTATGGTGCCATCGCGTTCCCTTTAGTCAAGAGCACATTGACCAGAAAATGCCACTTGACTGAGGTTAAACCGACCTCGTATTCTTCAGTTCCAGTTCTTTTGTTCTCAGTGTGGGTGTATGTATATGTAACAATCGTTATTCCGGAGTACAATAACGGAATACAGTAAACCACGGTTAAAACGAACACGCTTATAACGAACTGACGGATATAACGAACTTACTTTTTGGTCCCAACTGTTTGCTGTAGTTATGCTGTATATATGCTTATAACGGACTACGGTTATAACGAACTAAAACTAGTAGTCCCTTTGAGTTCGTTATAACCGTAGTTTACTGTATATAATACATGAATTACACCTACATTATAAATGCATTACGACCGCCTCCATGGTCTAGTGGTAGAGCGTCCGCCCGGAGAGCGGAAGGTCCGGGGTTCGATCCCCGGCGCGCGTCATACCAAAAGACGTTAAAAGATGGTACTTGTTGGTACCCTGTCTGGCGCTCGGCATTAAGGGGCTAAAACAAGGACTGGTCGGCTCGGGGTCAGTATACTGTGTCTGGGTGGGGTATTAATGTTAAACTGTGGCATGGTATCTCAGTGAGCTAGCTCTATAAATCGGCATCAGTCCGGACTAGTACAAGCAGCCACACACACGTACATGCACGTCGCTATATAAGTGCAATAATCTTGGACGCGACGTTCAAACCCATCACCTCACCTATAAATGCATTAGTAAATCCTACGGCCCCGTTGCACAAAGCGAGTTTTGGACAACGACTATCGTAAGCATATCAGTATGCTAAATTATGGTAGTTACGATCACCTTAGCGCTGAGATCATGTTCAGCAACGAGGCCCTGGCTGAGAATCCTTAATATCATTTCCGAAATCTGAATCAGCACATTCTCCAGACTTCACGAAAGGAATCCTTAACGTATCAATGTTCAGTGCATGACTCTTATGAGCATACCACAAGTTAATGGACACAAACGGAAAGCACAACCGGGGATCCTTATACTTCACATACCCATATATACACTGAAACCCCGTGAGTCCTGAAACCCCGGGAGATTACTGATATGAACGTCAACATAAAGTGACTCCTCACCCTAGGTTCGTTATACCAGATATTCGTAAATCAGAACGACGTTCTGCCAATGGTACCGACCGGATTAACAGGGTTTCGGTGTACAGTAAACTACGGTTATAACGAACTCAAAGGGACTACTAATTTTAGTTCGTTATAACCGTAGTTCGTTATAAGCATATATACAGCATAACTACAGCAGATAGTTGGGACCAAAAAGTAAGTTCGTTATATCCGTCAGTTCGTTTTAAGCGTGTTCGTTTTAACCGTGGTTTACTGTATCATTAGATTTTAACAATCTTCATCAATTACATCAATTAGAGTTTTGTCCTCTCAGACAAGGTCATGCTGGACTTTGTGCCGAGACGGTTCTAACACACCTTTCAGTTGAAAAGAATTTAAATGTACGTTGGAACATATGTTTCTAGATTATATACATTGGGTAAATGGCAATACAAGCAGGTACACTTATTCAGGATTTTGTGAAACAATTCTTCTCAAACAGTGACCAAACAGCTAGTCTAAATCTGGTATACATTAGTACATTGTATAACGTTCTTATAAGCCATCCGTTTGCAATCACGCGTATCGCGCCGCTGCATCAATATTACTGCCATTGCACAAAGGCTTATCTTTCACACATGGGTATCCTGGAAGCAATAATTCTGTGGGGAGCAGCGGTAACTTGACGTGATCAGTTTGAATGGTAATGGCACCGTGAGTCCACTATCCTCTACATCCTAAAGAAGCTATCCCCAACGGCCTAAAAATAACATGGAGTGATTTTAATCGTTTGTATACTTGTACTTCATTACAAATGTTAGGATCTTAGAGTAACAATGAACTCGGTACGATGTTTCATTGGTAAACCGCTACCTTTAAATATCAAGGATGAATGCCCTTCTCTTGATGATACGTCCCAATGATTAATTCACCGTGGCGAAGAAGAGTTTGTGCACTGGACTTTCAGCGTCTTCAGTGTCTCTGGATATTCATTTTTATGCTTTTGCTCGGGAAATTAAAAAACTTTGTCCCAGTGTATGGTAAACATATATTTTGACATGTGTGCATTCCGTTATCTGCAAGTTAATAATCTCTAAAGAGCTTTTCAAAAGGAATAAAACTCATGTTTAAAAAAGCCCCTGTCGAAATGTTGTTAATAATTCGTCCTTGGTAGGTTATCATTGGGTTATGTATTGTGTTATTAGATGCGTATAAAACCCAGACAGAATGAGGTATTATTCCAAACAGGAATACAAGCAACGTTCAAAGAAGTTTCATTAGCAAGTTTACAACAAAATGTCATCAAAGACAATATAATTCACTTACCTGTTACCAAGGAAAATCCCAATGGTAAAGACTACGATGAATGTCGTCATGGCTTTATGTCCCCAATCCTACCTACAAGAATCACTACACATCCAACCTTCTGTATCCCTCAAGCGAACTGGCGACCGTCTCTCTGCTTCACACTCCGCCAACAAAAATAGACCCCCAGGCAGACGATAGATTGCGCGTTGTCAGCTCGTGCGAATTGGCGAAGTGAGCGTCCGTCAATCTCGTATCCCACTAACAATTCCCGCGGTTACTCTACAGGCATTCTCTGTAGTAAACGGCAGCCGTTGGTAGTCTGCGGGTACTTTTTCCTATCCGCATCCTTGAATGTGTGTGCTGTTTGCTTGCTGGAGAGCAGAATGTACCAAACTTATCGGTTTTCACTGCGTTATTTTACTGTGCACAAAAAGTAACACCTTGACTTTTTCAGTTAGGGGAGAATTCAAATACAAAGGTCGTATTGAACATTCAGAATCTTTTTATGCAAAATGCGCCAAAATGGATGAGTTTGATATTTGAGTTAATAGCGAGTGCGCGAGATAAGGTTGACGCCGTTTGTTCAGATATATCACGGTGTGTCAGTTTCATTTTGGATGAATTCCCGAATTGATGCCTGTCTTAGACGTTTGCTGTTTGGTGAAACGGGCACGGTATAGTTTTCGCGAACACTTGGTGTCCTCACTGATTTTCAGTGATCCATTCATATACTTTTCACCGCTATTTGCCTCTTACCCCCTTTGGAATCTGTAGTGTAGTAGAATAACCAGTCCCGATTATCAAAAGAAACAGAATGTCTGATTCTATTAATCGTAAAATGCAATATTGCGGTCAAAATTATATGACACCAGGTGTTTGCGAAAAGAATACAATAAAAAGCAATCAATAGTTAACATAACGTATAAAAAAACGCAGAAATTCAATGTGAGTAATATGTATTTGATTGTGAAAACGTGGATTCAAAGCATCCGCTGAAACTGTACGATTGTCTGTCGTTGTTTGTTTGTTTGTTGTTTAGCAATATTCCAGTTATATGACCGCGGTCTGAAAATATCGACAATCCAGTGACTGACATCAAGAGCATATGTAATTGGGATACGATGATAATGTCATCGAGTCCAGCCAACTGGCCGACATGTCATAATGAATTGGTGTTCTAAAGTGATATCATTATGAGACGTTCTGTTCCTAAGAAGTCTTTAGGCAAGCATACCATTTCTTTGGAAAAAGACGCAGGTACCATAAGCGCTACTTAATGGCAGTCATTAAGCGCTCATGCCAAGCGCTGCTTAATCTGAAAACGAGGTTTACATTATCGTGCTATTTCTGATCCACGGGATTTTTTTACACGTATGTTTTGTTTATTTTTGACGCCTCACTTTGCATTATTCCAGCTATTTGACGGCGGTCTAAAAATAATCGAATTTTGACCAGACATGATTTGCATGATGAGCAGCGATCTATGCAATTGGGATCGATGACATGCATCAACCAAGTCAGCGAGCCTGACCACCCGATCCCGTTAGTCGCGACAAGCATAGTCGCCTTTTACGGCAAGCAGGATCAGAACATGTAATATTCTATATTGAATTTCTTTTCGCAGTACAAGATACTCATGCAGGACGCGCATGCTTTTGTATTCCCGTTCTGTTCTGTCCCCTCTTATGACAAGCATGGGTTGCTGAAGACCAATTCTAAACCGGATCCTCACGAGTCCTGCACATATGTGGTCACTGGCGTTAACGCTGACGTCCCGAACAGACATGGAATAAGATTTTTACGTATCCAGGTCACGTTCTTCTTTAGGTCTTCGAGTCTATCGCTCAATAGTTTCCTTACAATTGACAGCATAAGAACAATGGAGCAGACAAGTAACAAGGAACTCAGTGAACTGATCCTTTGCTGGAAACACTCGAGGTTGTAATATTCCACAGCGAGATTACTGTGTTCTTGTAATACTTGTTAGAAGTGTTTGGCTGGAACATTGCTTAGTGCGGCGTTAAACCACAAACAAACAAGCACGTGGCGAGTTTGAAATAGTGGGACATAAAATAAAGATCTTTAATAAACCATACGCTGATATAAAAGACTTAGTGCTTTAACTTTAAGGCGATAAAAGCAGGGTATGAACATTCTTTGTTTCGCAAGTTTCATTTACACCGCCCGACATTGTTATGACGTCATAGATTGTTCTCAAAACCAATCACACACACCCAGCTCCCCACCCCAAACCCCTCACCCCTACAAATGAAATGGATGCTCCCTATACACTTGAAAATTGGATTTGACCAAACAATAATAAACGTTATCAAAACGTTACTAGGCTGAAAACAGTCGTCGAAACGCCTAAACAAACTATTATAATACTTGTGTCAAATACATCACCATCGAATAACCATTTCTTGTTTGTTTCATTCTTAGCTACCATCATACATGGGTATATATAATTGCTTTGAATGTTGTAGAAACCACTTGTTTGATAGGCATTACTTAGAAGTTGGCGGATGACAAGATAGACACAATTTTATGGATAACAACTTCTTTAATACTGTAAAAAGCGACGTTTCGGTATAGATCCTTATACCGTTGTCAAGCAAGACATAGTGAGGGAGAATGAGGGACATAGTGCAGAATATATATAGCAAGTGGAGGATTAACAGTAGAGGATTAACAGTAGAGGATTAACAGTAACAACAAGGGCATACATGAGTGGGATAACATAGGTAGGTGTGACAACAAGGATGATGCTATCACAACACGATGGACAGAAACCACATAGCTAGAAGCCAATGGGGCATGAAGCCAATAACAGGTGATTATTGTTTGATGAGTTCATAGTAGGCGGATGGGATGAAATAGCCTTGATCTCTATATATTCTATATGCTATATATATTCTGCACTATGTCCCTCATTCAGTCTTGCTTGACAACGGTATAAGGATCTATACCAAAACGTCGATTTTTACAGTATTAAAGAAGTTGTTATCCATAAAATTGTGTCTATCTTGTTGTAGAAACCGTTTATAACCTAATGCGAAGTTCGTAATACGGATAGAACATTGACATGTCTAAAGCGGCGTAAAACTCAGTCATTCAAACTACTTTACATTGCTTGAGATGGTGAGGTGAGGTGAAATGGGGTTTAAGTCCAAGACTATTGCACTTATATAGCGACGTGCATGTACGTGTGTGTGTTTGTGTGGCTGCTTGTACTAGTCCGGGCTGATGCCGATTTATAGTGCTAGCTCACTGAGATACCATGCCACAGTTTAACATGAATACTCCACTCAGACACAGTATACTAACTCCGACCCGACCAATCCTTGTTTTAGCCCCTTAATGTCGAGCGCCAGACAGGGTACCAACAAGTACCATCTTTTAACGTCTTTTGGTATGACGCGGCGGGGGATCGAACCCCGGACCTTCCGCTCTCCGGTCGGACGCTCTACCACTAGACCATGGAGGAGGTCTCATTGCTTGAGAGTTTTCTTTCTTGATGTGTACAGTGCAAAGTAAACATGATTATATGCACAACTATAAAATCTATTTAAAGTCTCCGTGATCAACCATTGCCCTGTAATTTCACGCCGAAATTATTGCAATGCAAAAAGTCGACCACTGCTACTAGAGAAACTATTATACCAAAAATATCCAACAACCAGATATATAATTCGCAAGCCACATGTCATTGATATCTCACAGCTTAACAAGGACTGCGAATACGTCATACAGTGTTCACAACTCTGTAAATGTTTTGTATTTTACTCCTGTCACGAAACCACTAATTCTCCATGTCTGTACAGAGAAAGAGTCATGCAGAGTAATAGTAGATTAATCTCTATTTTGTAAGCGGAGGGACACTGTCATAACTACATAGGCATATGTAGAAAGCTTGGCGTCAGATATCCTCTCGCTGGTGTCAATTGGTCTGACATTTCCCCCACTATCGGGGAAGTATCACTAACTACAAATGATGTACATACATTAGCTTGTCAGAGATGTGAAATTCACACCTACCTAACTGCTGTCGGCGGTGAGATTCGCCGTAAGTGTACGCAACGTCATACGCCTTCTGTAGGTTTTTTTCCTGAAGTGTATTTCGGGCATTACTCCCGTATAAAACAGCTCGTTTTGGCTATCGCACTCTGCCACTTTCAAGATTCAATGTAGATTCGTAAATGTTCAACATGAATTCTGTCAGATGTCATGAACACATGCATGTGCTTGTGCAATCGTAGTTTTTATCGGGCATTTTCATTTTTCGTTATGAATAATATTTATAATTATATCATTTACGGTAAACCTTTGTTCTCATCTCTAAGGGTATATGCTGCACATATAGATGTGTCTTCGTAGATAAAAGAGCTTCAAGCTGGTAACAATATTCCACGGTGGCCTGTTATCAAGACAAGAGAAACCAGTGACTGAAAGCATGAGCAACGTGCGCCACTGGGGCACGGTGACACGCAGTCACAAAGTCTTAGCACCCGATTACGACAAACAATGAATCTGGACACATATTTTTACCCGAATCTATCTACGGTGAGCTGGAATGCCTGATTTGTGGTAGACATATATTGATGCTGTCATAGTGTAAGAATGGGCCAGGCATCGCTTAAACGGTCTTTTTATTTTCAACCGCTATTGACGTACGCTTCGTCTCGTCTAGTATACCCCGCACGAGTCTGTCTGCAAGACCAAGAGAATAAATGTGAAAAACGACTTTACCTCCACTCTAGAATAATTAGGCAAGTCTAGATTGCCTAAGCTCTAGTTCAGGCTGAAATTAAGTATTGTTCTGTGCACCATTTGAGTTTAGTTTATTTTAGTTTGAAGCTTCCTGTTATACGAGTAATGAATGACGTTCGGCATCCTATATAGAAGTGGTTTCAATGACTAAAGTGGTAAACGATCGTTAATGCTTCAAATTGTGCAAAGTGGTCATTGTGTTGAACGTCCCTGTTTACATATGTCAATGAATCCACTTATTTAAAGGTCACGCTGGGGACCTTCCTGCAACAAGGTCAAGATGAAGATGATCAGTGAAACCGACATCAGTGCAGTGACAGTTGAAACTCAAAGCTATGCGTCATACCACTACATGTACCTCTATAGATGTCACGTTTCCGTGCATGATATTGTATAAATTATAGGTATCTCCCATGGACATAAAGATCCATTCTTGGTATTTTGGTTGATGCCGTTCACAGGGAAATCGCTCTGTGATGACCCAGTCGTCTCATGTCTGTGCAGAGCTCGTCTCTCGGGCATGCCAGAAACTCA